CACTCAAAGGAGATAGCTTTGTTATTTTTGCCTGGGAACTTTGTGTGATGATGCCATTCACTAAGATAGTGGAGACATAGACTACAAGTGGGAAGGAAGATGATGGTTTCAGTTCTGAGTCAAATCTTGAGTGTCTGTGAGGCATTGGGTGGAGATATAGAAGAATAATTGGAAATGTAGTGGTAAAGGTCCTGACCCTAATTTTGGCTGGAGATAATAGGTTGAGTTATCAATAATATGGCCTTAGTTTCTGAAGCTATAGAGTAAATGGGATTATTCATAGTGAATGCGGGAAAAAAAAAAAAAAGACAGTGTTCAAGCTTTCATAATAAAGATATTTAAGGAATAGTTCAAGATAAGCCCCAGAAAATAAGTGAGAACTACCAGAGGAGAAATTATCCTAGAAACAAAACAAAGGACAGAAAGGATTAGAAAAGGGAGTTATGTAAGCTACTTCAGAAAAAAAATAGGACAATAACAAAAATTGTTCACTGGCCCTAAAAACAATATTGCTCAAACAAATTGGTGAGCTTCTTGAGAGCAATTTCTTTGGAGGTTAAGAAGAGAATCCAGATGGCATGAGGTTTGAAGCATAAATGGAAAATGAAGATGAGCTTAAGAGACATTTACTTCATGAAATTTGAAAATAACAATTGAATAATAGTAAACAAGTAGCATGGAATTTGGGGAAGGAGCTCCTTCTAGATCAAGAAGACTACATCATGTAACAATGCTTACAAAGCATAATATAATAAGATAATTGAAGACAAATGAACCCACTTGTCATGACTCAGAAGAAGTTTAGATACAATATCCACATGTTTATATTTCTAACAGTTCAACACAAACACTCTCTGTATCATCAGTATCTCGTATACTGGACTGAGTATGTGGCCCTTAATTGAGAGAAACAATATGGTTTGATGTCCAAATACTTGCCCTATGGTCAGTTATTTTAGATTTTATTCCTAGTTTTTATCACCTCCTGTCTATGTCACATTGAACAAATCACTAAGGTTGCATGTCTTATAAAAGGTAAGACTGATTCTTATACATGAGCTCTTATAATTGCTACATAGCTTCCTGTTACAGGTTTTAGATTATGAGAAAAGTACCTAATATATGTGACTTTTTTGTTGAATGCAGTTTTATAGTTTAGTGTTTTGGAGATACTCAGAGTACTGGCTTACTCAGCAGGATGTTAAAAACTATGACTAATAATAGAAAAAATGAGTGTTCAGGTATACTGCACTTTAAGCCTGTTGATATTTCATAAGGGGATCACCCTTGATAAAACATGATTGTTCTCTGTGCCTTATATTCTTATCTATAAATGGGAATAACCTTTCAGGTCTTCCTTGTAAAAACCAGGGATAGTATGTTACAAATCAGTATATGAATACAAGATAAATATCCTTTACTCCAAAAGATAAAAGGGATACTAGCAGCCCTTCTATTAGAATCTGCCAGACAATGAACCAACTACCTTCTACTTCTTTCATTGGTTTGATTTCATTCACTGGTTCCCACCCAGAGGTCCTGTCAGGTGTCATTATGACGAGAATGTTAAAGGTCATGCGTGTCCTTCTCCTGTTTCCTCCTTGTGACATTCTAACCTGGTCAGTACCCTCACACCATCAGTTTCCTCCTAAGGGAGCTGCAAGGGTTGTCAGGCAGCTGCCGCTACAAACAGAAAATGTCACTACTTTATTCTCCACTACACCGAATCCCCAATGGGCAGGGGAGGGAGAAAACTAACCTAATCTAAACTAAAATCCCTTTATTATTGAACTGCTTCATGCTTTCTTGTTCTTCTCCCTCCTCCTGACATATACTTTCTCAGGGACAGTATAAGTAACTACAAGTAAAAAAAATAAAGAGGAAAATCAGAGTCAAACCATAAACTCTGCTATTTGTAATCAGCACATAACCTCTCTGATGAAATTTGTGGGTAATTCACTTCCCACTTAAGCCTACCAATATGAGAGCTAATGTTCTGCCCTGAACACTAATGAAGGAAGTCAGACGGCAGTACAGCTAGCCCTTGGGGACTCATTTCTCACATCACCAAAAAGTAATTTCTGTCATTTTCGGCCATCTGGTAGCTGGGTTGTGAAGATGAAGTTTCTTTCAAGTAGCGTTTAAGAGCACGGGGCCTGGAGTCTGCCTGTATTCAAGTCTGCTTTATGCTTCTTGCTTAGTCCATGCTCTATCGCAGTTTCCACCTTTAAATAAAATCCTCATAGTGTAATCAAGGCTAAATGGTTAAATTGTTTTCAGACCTTTCAAGAGCACAAAAGGAATAAACTTATTTAACTTGCTACTGAGACTTGTATTCACAGATGAGTAACAACAACAACCTTGAGCTGAGCTCCGAGGCCACTTAGAAACTGAAAATGCAGAGCTAGAAGGGACAAAACAGAAGTGGGGCACCTTGAATCCTGGCCCTGGGCTATTATAAGTAAACTCTCTTCTAATTGGTTTGAATGTATGGGATCCTTCCCTGGCCCATGATCACTAGTACTATAATCTACATGTTTCATTTGATTTTTGCCCTGTGTCCTGAATTACTTACCACTGTCTCTAAAAGGCTGGAGACATTAAAACTTCCAAGTAATTATAACTGAAGGGTATAAACAGTTGGGATTACAGCCTGCCACCATGTGACAATCAATCAAATTTCAAGTTATCTAGGGAAAGAGCCTGTCCCTCTATGGTCCCCAAACCTCAGCCTCTACTCAACAAGTAGTTCCAGAAGACAGACCGTAGCCCATTGCCTCTCAAGTAGAAGGAGCAGGTTACAGACAGAATAGGAAATTGTCACTGTTACGGAACTCCAGTCTCAGTTTCCCTCAGCCAATAAAAGAAAACAGAGTTTAAGAAAAGGAAAGTGGTTTTATTTGTCGACAAATGAGGAAGGCAGCAGGCTCATGTCCAAAAGACCACCATCCTGCTCTTTGGCAAGTTACAGGGCTATTTATACAATGTTTAACAAAGAAAAAGGGGAGGTGGGCTAGAGTCTGCAAAGGGAAGAGAGTGAAAGTTAGTGCTGGGATGGAGACCAGTGGGCACCAGCCTTTATTTATACAAAGATAAACAAAAATGGGGAATCAGCAAGAGTAATGGGGAGGAGCCAGGGAACAGCACAGGGAGGAAGAGGAGTTGGTGTGAGCTTCCTCACTATTTGACTTTGTTTGGGATTCCTTTCCTTGACCCTAAACCTCTCTAGAAAAGAGAAACTGCAAGGAAAGGAGAGAAAAAGAAAGTAAACCCACAACCAGTTATGAGCTCTGGGAAAACCAATTCTGTCATAAATTTGTCAAAGTAGGCAAATCTGTAAATGCTTATCTGAGAGCCAGGGGGAAGGTGGAAGTAAGACAAAGGTTAAGACAACTAATTAACATGGTGAAGTCACAACTTCCAACTTCCGGAGCCACTGTTACGGAACTCCAGATTAAGAATAAACTTGGAAGAAAAAGGGCTCTGAGGCAGTTTCTGGCCCTACATTTTACTCCCAGATCCTACTGACACAGAGCCTTTAATAGCTCTCCTTTCTTAGAACTTCCCCATCTAAGTTTCTGTTTCTCTCCAGTTCTTCCAAAAGGCCTTTGTGACATCAGTCTGCATGTCCTTGGATTTTCTAGCACCTGGCTAAACCCACCTGCTCTTATCTCTTGAGGTTTGGCTTCTGAGTAGAGAGCAGTCAGAACCCTCCAAAACTTCTAATGCAACAGGAAGTCATTTTCTTATGATAAGGAGTTATTGAAGTAAAAGTTACAAGTAGTTGGCCTAGGATCTCATATACAGTAAATGCTGAAGTTAGTTATTATCGAATTATAGTAATGATGGTAGTAGTAGTATTAATAGTAATTTTGTAATAGCTACTATCTGTGACACAGAACTTACTCAGTTTTTAAGCTATAGGGTACATCTTATGACCCACCATACACCATGATAGCATTTAGAAATTTTCAATTACAGTGATGAACATGTTGTGCCAGGTTTCAAGTTTCCCAAAGACCACCATGCAGCTGATTCCAATGCAAAGCACATGAGGGCCTTTATTGCAAGCTGGAGCCTGGGCTCCCAATATGCAGCAACACAGCAGCTGAATTGAGAACCCTGAGCTCACAGAAGGCAGGATTTTTATTACAGAAGAGGAGAGTTTCAGCCCAGCAGAGGGGAGTTTTTGCTCAGCAGTACATTGATTTGTAGACATTGAACAAAGTTATCTTGTCTTAACCTGGTTGATCTATGCATGTAAGATGTGACTTCACTACTCGGCCTGCATACCTTAGGACATCTGGTGTTTTTCTGATATGTACTGGTTACTTGCCTACTTTCTAATTGGCTGTTGCTGTGGGATGAGTGAGATTAGGACATTTACAGTTAAACTCGGCCTTGGCGCCTTGTTGATAACCGAAACTTAGGCCTGGCAGGTTCAGAAGCATTCTGAAGCCTGCATGGCATCAGTTTGGTCTTTCAAACAGATGGTTTCCTTATATGGCTAGACTGTAAGTTACTAGGTATAAACCATGTCTTCAAAGCAAAACTGTGCAATCTCACACTAAATAACACATTTTTCCTGATATTTGGAGCAAAAATTGTGCTAGATTAATTTTATATAAATAATAAAATATAAAAAAGATAAGTCATTCTTAATATTCATATAAATGTTCATGCTCTCAATGTCCAGAAAAGGTCTATTCTAATTAGAAATAGATCTAAGATATTTTCTGTATACTATCCTATGTTTTTCATACAGCACATGGTTATCATGGAGAGATTCTTACCCTATAGTAAAACTCAAACCTTTTATCTTTCACTAATTCTCTGAGAAAGTCTTAAAGCATGCTGGCTCCCTACAACAACTTTCCAAGTGCTTTAAATCATAAAAGTACTTAGGTCAAATTTGCTTCTTCCAGCCCATGGACATCAAATCTGACTTTATAAGTAACCTTCTAGATATGATTCTTTATCCCATTTACTTTTCTTTACAGTTCCACCAAAGATCTCCAACATCTCTTCAGATGTCACTGTGAATGAAGGCAGCAATGTGACCCTGGTCTGCATGGCCAATGGTCGTCCTGAACCTGTTATCACCTGGAGACACCTTACACCGACAGGTAAGAAACTTGTATTTTCTAAATAGCCACACTGTATTATCCTCATACTCTTAAACTTCAGTTGGAAGTTAAAGGCAAGGATCTTGTTTTTAAAATGCCAGTATCACTATTATAAAGAAGTTATTTAGCATCTTTCTGTTTTTTGTTAATATATTCAACTCTGCAAAGTTTATTATGATTGATGTAGATATTATTGTCTATCTATCCGTAGATAACTATTCTACTACATGCTTTTATATTTCATATTCCTTAGGATACCTCCCTTAAAGCAAGGGAACAAATATATATTATGTTATTTGACTGTGTCAAAAATATATATAACTTTGGTGCTTGAGTGTCTTGGGGCAATGTTTTGTGTGTATTTTGTTTGGCTTGGCTTTTAATTATAGTTTCCAAAATATGTAGCACCCTGTCCTTGCCATCCTGGGTCTGTGGAGGGTCATCAGGCATGGACTAAGGTTGTGAGCTCAGTATGGATTACTACCTTTGATGTTAATTCAGTAAAAATGAGAATCTCCTGTCTCAGGAATGGTTTCTGTTTCCTCCTTTATACTGTCTTACCTCTATCACCCTAACTGGGTTTTTGAGCTTCATTTAACATTTCCCTTTATTATTTAGGATGAATTGCATATACATTCTCCTAGTCTACAGATTGTTTCCTTATGCAGAATGTTGTCTGCTATTTATTTCCTGAAAGACGAGCAATGAATCAATTATATCTACAAATGTCATTAATCTTGGTAGCTAAGCACCAGTTTTTAACTTATGTAAGCTAATAATCTCTCAAAGTTTCCTCATATAAGTATAATATTAATTTATAACTTACTCACTTTGGAATGAATGTCATGAAAAGTTCTTATACAGAGTTAAACATATAATGGGAATGATGTTCTTAAGAGGCTCAACAACTATTGATAGTGTCTCCAAAAACTTTGTGATATGAGAACATTAGTCTCCATTCTATATTAGCCCTCATATTAATTTATCTGATGAAATTGGGGCTAAGCTGTAGAGTGGTCCATTATTTGTGTAAGTATTCTTATTATAGGCTCCTGTTTTTTTCGTAAGAAAATGTCACTCAAAACCCATCCTTATTGTTAATGCATGCAACTTGTAACTTATTCATAACATATAAGAGCAATAAATGAGGCATTTATTTGGAATATCAACCTCATTCCATTTTATACTTCACATTTAAGATATGAAGAAGTATCTAAAATGTGGATCTCTGGTTATTTCCGCATGGATTGAATTAAACCTCTAGAGTACATTCTCTATAGATGGGAATATAGTATTCTTCTATCCCTACCCCAAGTAGAATTAATTTTACTGAGTATCTATTTGGTATAAAAACTATTAACCCATATTGAAAGATGTTACAAAAGATACCTTCTATAATCATTGTGTTTAATATATGTTTTTTGAGGTTGTTTATTTTACTTTTGAAAGGTTCTGTTCAAGAATCCCCTCTTGGTTTTCTAAGTGTCTACTATTCTTTTTCTAAACAATGATTTGCTTTGTTTTTTGAGTGAATTCACTGATATTTTATAAATGAACATGAGTCCTTCTCTGGATTGACTGTTAGATAACTTAGAGCTAAATGCATTTTCCATATGTTTTAAAAATACGGGAAATTGCATGCAAATTACACATTAATAATATGAATTTTAAACAAACTGTGTAGGATTGTGGAGTATCAAATTCATATATAGACCAGTCTTAGATTGATCTTGTTGTTTTTCTAACCGTCATTTTTTGTATAGTGACAAATTTTATAATTAATATGAATTTTTATATATCCATATTACTTAAAATCACTTAATTATTATTGTGAGCAAAAGTTGATAAAGGAAGGGGAGAAGGGAGAGAGGAGGATTATATTCAAGTTATAATCAAGGAATGAACTGCATTAGTAAAAAAATGTTATTTCTTTTGTGCTTATTGACTAATAAATAAGTTTTTGTTCATGTCAGAAAAAATGCTCTTACTGACCTGAATCCAAAGATAGATTATTTTTTATCCCTTTAATTGCTAAGAATTCTGAGTGAGAACCATAGTTTCAAGGCCACTCCAAGCTTGGTTTAGTTTAGATCCTCATGGCTAAATGAATAAACTTTTTAAATGAACATGTGATATGAACCTTGAATAACCTGTTTTCCAAGATGTTTTAAGTCAACTAAATAAGAGGGCAAGTCAGATCTATCAGAGTAAAGGCAACATTGACCTACCATCAGAATACTCTTGAGACTTCAATATCAGCTAGTAAAATAAGTGTACTCACATGGATTCTCAATAGTCATGCCAGGGGTCAGCAAATGCAATAAGTGAACCAAATCTAGCCTGCCCCACTTTTGTGCCTCTTTCCTGGAAGATAAGAATGTTTTCAAATTGTTGAAGGGTTGGGGAAAAAAATCAAAAGTTCAATTTTGTTGTTCAATATGCAAAAAATATGTGGCATTCAAATTTAATTGCCCACAAATAAAGTTTTATTGAAACACAATCACGCTCATTCATTTACAATTGTCTATAGCTGCTTAGGTTCTAAAACAGCAAAGTTGAATAGTTTAAGCAATTTTTTTCTGACATGAACAAAATAGTTTGTTCCACAAAGCCTAAATTATTTTCTATTTGGACCTCACGAAAATGTTTACAGAACCCCGACCTCTTAGACTATGGCTTAGGGCACAGGAAAGGGATTTTTTTCTATTCTCTTCTGTTTGCCCATAGGACTTTGGGAATATCTTCCATTAAATTCCTAAAGAATTCTCAGGGGAAATAACTTTATTCCACTATATTCCTCTATCTAGACCCTCTCTGTGGTCAAATTCTTTACTGGCTCATGCAAAACTAGCTCCCTGCTGCATTCAGAGGCTCCAAGGTAGAGTGTAATTTTCCCTTACACTGGGCATTAATTCTCAAACCTACTATTTCATCTCTTTCACATCTGACCTAAATAACCACTTGATCATAATCATATTTCTGGTGACAGGAGTGAGAATTTGACTTTACTCTGCTATAAATGAAACTAGGAAATTTTTTTGCCTTTTTTTCTCCCCTTCTTTCAGAAATTGGAAACAGAGGGTGATCCTTTTCAACCTATAACATGAAATCTTTCTTGAATACAGCCAAAGAAGAGGCTCTGCTCCCTTTGTGGCAGCAAAGCTGCCTGCACCCGTGGCCATGTGAACAAAAAAAAAAAAAAATCCAGCTAGCTTTGTTCAATTATTAATTGTACCTTCAGCAGTACAGAGTGTGACTGCCTTGCAGAGGAAATGTACCTGTAATTAGCTCGACCCCACAGGGACATGGAGCCCTGAAAGGGGGAAGATTCCATGCAGGTTTACAAGTACCTGATTACCTGTCATTTGATGACATGATGGGGAGAGATGGAAAGAGGATGCGGCTACATTTTTATGGGGAGGAGAATATTTATTACCTCTTATTCAATTCTTTTTAAAAGAAAGCTTTACTGATTCCCTTCCGTTTGACATATGAAACTTCTTTTTCAAGTATATAGCAAACATTCTTAAAGAAGGAAATGAGAAAAATGGTGAATCTTTCATATGTACAGAATGAAAGTATCTAATTGACTTGGAGGAAATGATCATTTTGCTGACATTGTTAATTTCTTAATTTTTTTCTCCCTTCTTTAGTGATTTTATATAATCAAAATGATGTGGCACATATATGGTTGTCAAATGTGACCTATTTTCTCTCTTAATTAAGTTAGTCTTCCATAATCCTATAACTTCCAGAGGGCAATTGCACCATAGCATGTACTTTCTATGTAGTGTTTGATCTCCCTTGTATGAGTGATGCTGCTGCCATCTTCATTTGACTTTATTTATAAATCTGCTCACAATCCAGAGGAAGTCCTTTTCTCAAGTTTGCCCCATGTGATGTCTGTATTGCTCAGGGTAATAAAAGTGTTTCTATGCATTTCATTTCTATAAAGGTTTTCATAACCTCGCTAACTTTCTGTACCTCACTAACTGGCTATTTAGTCTCTTAGGCTTAGAACAATTTAGCTGTACTTTTCAATTCTCTTGTCCAAGCCAGACACCAGATTTAACAACACAAAATATAGAAATCTCATTTAAGCAATGTCTTTTGTTTGTTTGTTTGTTATTTCCATATGTTGGGTGGGTACATGGGCAGGGAGAAACCAAAAAGACTTCAAGGAATATGAAACACCTCATTGCATGTTGGATTTTAAAATCACTTGGTTGGAGATATCCTAGCAGTTTGTTTCCAAGTTTGAATTGGAAGGCCCTTGCCTGATGGCTCTCTTGAACTCTATTAATGCTCTAACCCCATCTGCTTTATTTTTAATTTTATAGCTCACTTAATTATTAATATTTCTAGTTTCTGCTCTGTCCTCATGGGTTTCAGAGAAACATAAGATGTTAAAATAAACTCATCTTTAAGTTGAAATCTAGAAGTATATGCTACAAATTGCTATCATCTACTTTCAGTTTGCATGTTGGAATTAGTATGACTACATTTCATGGAAAAAATATACAATCTGCAATTTAAGTATCAGAAAATTCTTCTCTGGAGTTTTCTTGCATTAGTCTTCCAGAAGATTCTGTAAGTTAGTCTTAGCTGAATATGGATGTAGAAGACTAAAACTTGTACACTTTTCAGGTAAAGATTTTTTACTATATGGTGACAATTCATATTTAAATATTTTACTTATTTATGCATATTAGAACTAGGGTACAGGCCAGAGGTGAGGGGGTGAAAGGATTCACCAGAGACAGAGTAGGGAGCAAAAAAGGCAAATATACTGAAATACACTGCTGAAGGGAGCAGCAGGTGGGACAGGAGAGGTCTGACACACCATGTGGGTCACCTCCCATGCCAGGAATCAAACTCATGCTGTAGTGACTTCAGATAACTTTATAGTGCTGTGCTTTAACCCATTGCACCACCAGGGAGGGGCCTATAATGACAAGTTAAATGAGAATAATGGTTCACTTGTTGATGGCTTTTATTTA